CTGCTTATAGACTCATTGATATTATTGATTCTGCATTGTATTGACTTGCTGCATTTGATTTATTGATAGGGTAGATTGAGATTTATCATATTGCTTTTTCGATTGATTTTATTGACTAGATAGCATTGATTTGATTTGACTGATTGATTCGATATCGACTGATTTGACGGATTGATTGAGTTTCTTCTGGGTATGGATTTCTTCGAGATTGACGTGTATTGATTGAGCTAGATTTATCGATTTGCCTACTACTGCATTGACTGGTTTTATTGACTATGGATTTCCGTATTGCATAGACTCATTGACCATTGACTGATATGGATTTGATTGATTGACATGCATATTGATAGCATCGCCGTGTTTTGATTTCAGTTATAGGTATTAGGTGACCTGCTGGGCTTTGTAAAACTCATTATATGTGGTTGATATTTTCAGGTCAGGGCAAGGGAGCAGAAGATAGGAATTGATCCGGTTCTACAGGTTTTAGTTCTTTTGATGATTTTGATTCTTTTGTACTCAGGACAGGATAGATTTCAGTACTTGTGATTGTAGTGTAGTTCCTGAGTATTATACATGAACTTTTGAGATATGAATCGACTTGTATATGGATGTTTTTAATATTATAGATTTTTGTTAGACTGTTATTAATTGAAGGCTATAGATGACTCTGGTAAATGGCCGGTGAATTGACATTCTTTCCAAGTTAGATCTTGGGGCGTGACATGTCCAAACCCCCTCTTCATGTGAGAAGTGAGGGCCTATTTAGAGATTTTTGTGAATGACATGTCCTGTAAATATAGAGAAGATCAAGAGCAAATTTAGAGTGCTCCATCGGACGACACATATTGATCCCCTCAATCATAGAGTTTTCATCAAGCATTTATGTGCCCAAATGATGTTAGAATTAAGCAATATTGGGCTTGTTGGATTTGTCCCATCGAGCCACTAGATTCAACTATAAGCATGTTATATTTGCATATCATTTGGTCATCCATTTTATGCTTTGAAAATTTCAAATATACTTTGGGACCCCAATTTGGACTCATTTGGGCTCATAGTGGACCCATTTTGGTGTTGTTGGATTCTTTTCTACAAGGCGTATAATTTGACTATAGATTTGTTGAAATTGTAGTTTGGATGATCCTAAATTTAATTTCTAACTTGAATATATCTTGAGATTCATGCGTATCAAGACAATTTTTGATGATATATCAACTTTAAATATATATTATAAGTGAAGCCCAATCTTCACTTTTATTTTAAATTATATTACCAATAGTCCAATAGCTATTTAATGTTAATTTTATTTATTTTTTATGATTTCGTTATAACGATTAATTTTTATCTTTTTTATACAAGAATTAATTTTCTCATTTTTTAAAAAATTTAAAACAACTTAATTTTTTTATAAAAATTTCTCAACTTTATGCGACTAATCTAAAACTATATCCGGCCCCACCTAATAATAACAATTGCACGGGTAGTTTTAGTTTTAAATTTTTAATGCTGGAAATATGCCAGAATGCCTGATGCGCCCATCTCCCCCTGAAACTCTGCTTGGTTGTTCACTCCAGTGTAGCCAGTCTTGTAGCGCTCATGTTGCGATGCTTTCCCACTTTGTAGTCCAGTCCATAGTGTCTTGCGCGAAGCTCGTCCTGCCATTTCTTTTATGGTCTGTCTTTCTCGTCGCTTCGTTTCTGCTTCTGGTGCGAGTTCCTGGGATTTTCCTCTTGCTGGAGAAGTAGATGGCTTGGATTTTTGGGCTGGTCTTCTTGCTTCTTTGTCTCAGCACTGCTTCAAAAGCTCAGATGCCCGGTAAGCCTGCTTTGTAGGTTGAGTGAGGAGGGTTTATGAGATTTTGCTGTTTGGTGGTGGAGTGGTTTGGATGTTTCCAGGTGTTTTAGGTTTTTATGTTTGAGTTAGGAAGAGTTGGGTTTCAAGTTGTGAATCAAAATGTAGAATCTTTGTGGTTATAGAGTGGAATAGAGTTTAAAAGTAGGATAATTTGAAGGCATTGGTTAGCTTCTTGAATGATGTAGAACTATGACGTTGGTTGGTTGCCTGATTTGGGAGAAATAGCTAAATGGTTCGTTTCAAGATGAAAAATTCAATTATAGGTTTTAACTTGTTGGTGTGTTTTGAGTAGAGGGTTACTTGTTTGTTAAGAATAATGATTTCATAAAAAAATGGTTGCGTTTTGTGTGTGGATATTTGAGTTGGTAGTAACATTAGGGAATACTGTAAGGTGATGAGATTGGTGAATAAGGGTACCTGAAGATTACTTTCTGGGAACCATTTTGAAATTTAACTAATAAAATTTACACATGTTTTTTCTCGAGTTGGATTCTATCCTTCTTTCAGTAAAATCCATTGCTTCATCTTAAATTCCATGTAACTTGAAGCACTACATTTGAAAAGGTTTCATTGGCCTTCCATATTTTTTAAGTCATAGTTGTTTTTTTGCTTAAATTATTTACTCTTTTTAATTGCATTCTGCGAATTCTTTTGGTAGTATTGCATTTGCTTTGGTAAAATAGATTTAGCTTTGCTCGAATATTTACATTCCTTAAGTTTGAATAAATTGCCAGAATGGCGGGCAAGGCCCTCTTAGAAGGTGGCCAGTTCTCTCACAGAAGCATGCTGATAATTGAATTTTTACTTTCTCCCTAAATTCAATGTATTACAGGGCATTTATCAACTTAACACTTGATATTTTTGGATTTTCATTACTCCTTATTAAGCTATACAATCAAAGATTGTAGGAATCAGAGAAGTCTACATCTTTATTTCAATAATCCTAATGCTATTTCAAATATGCTTATATAAAGGCAAGAGGATAGAGCAATATGGAAAGTACAATAAATGAGAGAATACCCTCCATAATAAGGATATATCACAATAATTAATAGTATAAATTTCTAATAAAATTTACGATATCTGATAAAATTAATATGATATGATAGCAAAACAATTCTAATTCTAACAAAAGATAATAGCATCTTGGTTAAGGAAAGATGTAGATGCTACTTTGAGAAGTTATTAAAAAATAATTTTGAGAGATAAGTAATTTTAGAAAAGCATAATGAACAAAATAATAAGATACATTATAGAGTGATCTGAAAAGTAAATGGAGTTATATCTAGAGAATACTTATTCTGATAAACTTTACGTTTAAATGAGATAACAATTGGAATTTACAGAGTTATGTGGGTATTGCAATGGTTTGGTTATCAAATCTTTTCAATAGAACTTTGAGTGCTAAGAGGATGCCAAATAATTGGAGAAGAAGTATTTTGACACTAATGTTCTAGAATAAAGAAGACTTTTCAAGATTTTTCTGTTATAAAAGAATAAAAACCTTGGAAAAATCACATCATTTTCAAATAGTTAATTTGGTTTTACACCAAAAAGATTATTTCGACCATGTATCTTTTTGTTAGACAATCAAGATAAAAAAAGTTAGAGCAAAAATAGTCTTCTTTTGTGTTCAGCAAAAGGCTCAATTGTGTTCCTTCTACAAAAGTCATAAAACTCCAAGTCATTGACAATCTTCAACATCTTAATATTCTTTAATGTTCGCTTATCAGTTTGTGCCTTTCACTTTTGAAATACATCAATTATATCATTTTTTTTTTCTATTTGACCATATAAACCAGTTGAGTAATTATTTATATAGGTAAGCATGCATTTAGATTCACTCTTATATCTAACACTAATAGAACCACATATGCTAGAATTGAATATTGTCCGAGATGCCCTACCTTGAATAATGATCTACAAAGGTAAGCATGTATCTAGATTCAAACTCTGAACTAACTGATACGCCTTGGAGGCAAAAACAATGAATAAACAATGGAAAAACTGCATAAATACTAATAATAATGACTGTTTTTGGATTATAACATTAATTTGAAAGCAAGATACATGCAATTTACAATTCGAGAGGTAGACCAGCTCTCCCAAACAACCTAGACACCGCTAGAAAGCCCTCAAAGAAAAATCTGCAGCAAACATAAACAAAGATCTGCATAAAAAATAAATAAACCTAAACTTAGTCTTAAATAAGATCTCATCCTTCCCTCCTAAATCAACCCCTCGTTCCTAATATATTTCCCTCTTTTATTTGAAATTCAATTAGGAAATCCTTTCCTAATATATTTCCCTCTTCTATTTGAAATTCCATTAGAAAATACTTTTCTAATTGATCCTCTCCTAACATAATGAATTAATTCTTTGTTGGGCCCTGCCAAATCAGTCGAAATCCCCTCCTTGGATTCCACCCCTTCTTCCTAGGCTACTATATCAATACTCCCCTCCAAATCCTCAAGGTGGAATGAAGGGAACTGTTGCTGAATAATCTAGTAAGACTCCCACGTGGCCTTGTGCTTCGGTCGATCCTTCCACTTGATCGACACTTCCTCGCTTCCTGTTGCACCCTGTAGCACTCCTTCGATCTCCAATGATTCCAACAACACCTCCATGTCGTCCATCAAGGTCGGGGGAAGTGTAGAAGACATAATGTGCTCTCCTATCACTCGTCGCAATTGGGATACATGAATCACCGGTTGGATGGGTGATGATGGTGGTAACTGTAGGCGGTATGGCACGGCCCCGATGTGCTCTACTATCTCCGTGTCACGATCTTTTGCCTGTAGGGACGGAGCTTCAATAAACCCGGTCCCCCACATCAAATTGAATGTCTCTTCTTTGTGCATCTGCCTTCATTTTCATAATTTGTTGAGCTCTCAACAAATGCCTATTTAGTTCCCCCAAGATCCTGTCTTTGTCCTCAAAATATTGTTCAACCAAAGCCACTAGTGTATTGCCTTGTCCATAATATATCATGTGAGATGGATCTCTTCCATATAACATTTGAATGGTGTAGTCTGAGCTGCCGAATAATAGAAAGTGTTATACCAATACTCTATCCAAGCCAACCATTTCTCCCATAATTTTGGTGTATCCGATATAAAACATCGCATATACGTCTCCACATTACGGTTGACCACCTTTGTCTATTCGTCCGTCTAAGGATGATAAGCAATACTCCTTTTAGAACGGTCCTTTCCATTTTGAATAGTTCTCTCCAGAATTGGCTAAGGAAGATCATGTCTCGATCCGATACAATCGATTGCGGGACCCTATGTAATCTCACCACCTCCCTAATGAAAGACGTTGCTACTGATATTCTTGTATAGGGGTGGCAAAAAAGGGAATGAAATGGGCATACTTACTCAATTGTTTCACTATCACCATTATCGTAGTATATCCTTCTGACTTTGGCAGCCCTCAATGAAGTCCATTCTCACTTCCTCTTACACCTTTTCTGGCAGAGCTAACGACTGGAGGATCCCCCCCTGTTGACATCACTAAATTCTTGTGCCTCTGACATATATCACAACAAGCCACCATGTTCTCGACATTCTTCTGCATACCCTCCGAATACAGCTTTGTAGAGAGTCGTGCCGCGATGTCTTTTTGACCATAGAATGCCCCCTAATGGTTGTTTCAAGAAACTCTTGAAGTAGCACAAACCACCCATAATAAAGCAACTTTTGTCCCACTACTGAATATCTCAAATGGCTGTCCTTATTTCCTGCTAGCTCCTCCCTAATTTTCCTCAACCCTTCATCCTGTTCGCTTCTCTCCCCAGTGCTTCCTAGTCAACCACAAAGGGCATATATAATGCCATCATCTGCATGCACCTGGATAAACTATATGCTTCTTTGTTTTCAACTCCAGGTTGATATTGAATTTCGAAGTCATAGCCTAATAACTTGGAAGGCCATATTTGATGCTCCTCAGTGACCATTCTATGCTCCAACAAGTACTTCAGACTCCTATGGTTAGTTCTAACGATGAAATGTCTTCTCAATAAATAAGGCAGCCATTTTTGAATGGCCAACATGATTTCCATCAGCTCCATCTCATAGCTGACTTGAGCCTTGCTTTGGCCATCAACATCTGGCTGATATAGGCCACTGGTCTATGGTTCTGCATAAGTACAACTCCCAAGTCAAAACCCGAGGCATCTATCTCAACTAAAAAAGACTAGCTGAAATTTAGAAGAGCTAATATGGACACACTAGTCATAGCCTTTTGTAACTCCTCAAAAGCCTTGGTGGCAGACTCTCCCCACTTAAAGTTGTCCTTTTGAGCTGTTCCATCAACAGCCCCATTATAGAACTATAGTCTTTCACAAATTTTTGATAGTAGCATGTAAGTCACAAGAATTCTCTTAGCTCCTTTAAAGTCTTGGTTATGGGCCACCCGAGCATGGCCTCAATCTTACTCTGGTCTGCTATCACTCCCTCCTGAGATAGCACGTACTCTAAATACTCCACCATGGGTTGGTCGAAAGAACACTTCTTCTGATTGGCAAACAAAGAGTGCTCTTTTAAGGTAGATAATACAACTCCTAAATGCTCCAAGTGCTCCCCTTCAGACTTTCGATATATCAATATATTGTTAAAAAATACCAACACAAACCTTCGTAGGTAGGATTGGAATACCCTATTCATCAGAGACTGGAAGGTGGCCGGTGTGTTGGTGAGGCCAAAAGGAATAAAAAAGAACTCATAATGTCTCTCGTGCGTTCGAAAAGCTGTCTTGTGGGTGTCACTTGATTGCATTCTGGTCCGGTGTTATTTGGATTTCAAGTCGATCTGGAGAATATCACATATCCATGCAACTCATCTAACAACTCATTAATGGCTGGTATGAGAAACTTATCTGGTACAATTTCCTTATTCGAGGCATGGTAGTCTAAACATAACCTCCAGCTTCTATTCTTCTTCTTCACTAACAATACAATA